TAATGCGGAACTAAATAAACGTTGTGGGGTTGTTGCAGGTCAAATGAATTATTTGATTTGTTAGGATGATTAATGCGTGTGTGTTGCTGCTTTAGAGCAATGGAAGTTGCCACGCGTGTGTTTGTGATGTGTGTGTGTGTATTTGTTTGTTTGTGTGTGTTTGTGTATTTGTTTCTTTGTTTGTTTGTGTGTGTATGTGTGTGAGAGAGAGAGGGAGGTGGGGGAGAGCGGGAGATATTGGCTGGAGAGAGAGAGAGTGGATGAGAGAAGAGAGAGAGGCAGAGAAAGAGAGAGATAGAGAGAGAGATAGAGAGAGAGAGAGAGAGAGAGAGAGAGAGAGAGAGAGAGAGAGAAAGAGACAGACGTGTGGGACATACAGGGAAAATGCGGGGCATAGACATAGATGGAGGGACATTGGGAGACAATTACAGTCAGAAATGAAAAAAAATGGCCACAAAAATGTTGTTCATAGATAATTTAAAGCAAATTGTCTGGTAGGAAAGAAAAAAATAACTCTGTCAGAAAATCAAAGAGTACTTTTCCTCCCCATCACTCACAGCTAAGGTCTTCCAGACTCCAGAGATGTTGTCCCCTGCGATGTCCTCCTTGATGGCGATGTACATGTACGGGACATACGACAGGAAGTAGATGATGCCCGCACACGCCGCTGCGACCTTGGCCTTGGAGTAAAGCACACTGATCAGAAAGCTGGGGAAGAGGAGAATGGGAAACAAATATGGAATATCGCTTTGTACACTTGAAATCGTCCAAGACCGCCCGTCATTGCAGAGAGGAAAAGTGGTTGCCGTAGACAGGTGGATGTGGGTGGTTGGCAGGTGCTCTGGTGTAGTTTGCTCCTTCCTTCCTATCAAACATCTATCATCCTGATCTCTCCTCCTTCTTTTTTGTGCATGTTACTATCTTGTAACATCTCTAATCTTTGGCACTTATATGACCTTATTGTGTTGCAAGTGCTGTAAAACTCTTACTAAAACTAAAAAATAGGTGGATATCTTGAGCAGAGTCATTATGATAATTCAGTATCACAAGGGGAGAAATAGGATACAAATATGGGATATCACTCTGTACACTTGAAATTGTCCTTGAACACCGCTCATTGTAGAGGAGAAAAGCGGTTGTCTTAAACAGGTGGATGTCTTGAACAGTGCCATTCTGATAATTCAGTAACACAAGGTGGGGGGGAGTGGAGTGGGAAGTGGTGATTTGTACAAGTGATTGTCTTGGAGAGGTGGCTCTTTGAGCCGGTTTGACAGTGATTTGTAAATGTTTTACCTACCCATTAGAACAATTTAGGCCATTTAGGAGACAGCCGTTTCCACTCTGCCCATCAGGGCAAAATTCACCTAAATCCCAGCAGACAGACTGAGATACTAAATTATCAGCTTCCTAACTAGGGAATTGAACTCAAATCATCTGCGTGCAACAGCAACAAAGACCACAACCACTCCTACACAGACATTGACAGGAGACCACTGAAAACTTCTTCAGTCAGTATCACACGCATACATGTGACAGAGTCTTTTTTATGAGCTGTTTTACTGCTCACAAGAAATAGATGTTAGAAGAAATGTAGAACCAGAAAGATGGTAAAACTTTAATTTGAGGTACTACTTTGTACCCTACACACTGAAAATCAATTTGTAATTTGTAAACGATTTATGCCCCCATCAACACAGTTTAGGCCATTTGGAGGAGGCTGCCTTGACCCCACAGATTGGTTTGGGTATTTTTTTTTTTCACAGTTTTATCCCTCACCAGAAAGGGACAACTGGACAGATACTTCTGAAAGACGAGGATAATGATTAACTAACACATTGGAAGGGCATGACAAAGTCTCTCCTTCCTTCCCCCATTCCGTGGGTGGTTGGTTGGTGCTTTGGTATTGTTTGTTCCTTCTTTTCTACTTTCCAATCAAACATCTGTTGTTCTTACCTCTCCCCATTCGTTTCTATGTATGTTACTCTCTAGTAGCACCTTCAATCTTCAACACTTATATGATCCATTCATGTTGCAAGTGCTGAAAAAGAAAACCACTTACTTACACTAAACCAACCCTTGCCACCCCTACTCACCAGAAAGAGATGATGGCACAGATGTAGATCTGTAGGACCAGGAAGATGATGAACACGTTGGACTGAGGCAGGACGTTGCCCATCTTGAGCAGGATGGTCAGTATGAGAACGGAGATGGTCATCTGTAGGAAGGTGGTCACAAACCAGGCACACCAATGGACAGCGTTACTCATGCCCATCATCTTCATCACCTGGGAGAGAAAACAAACCAGGGGAATGTGAGGGAGTGTAAAATGAGGAAATAAGTTTTCGTTGGTAACTGTTTTACGCTGCTCACAACTGCATAAGGTCATATGAGCGCATGAGGAAAGAGGGGAATGTGAGAGAGTATAAAATGAGGAAAGAGAGGAATGTGAGGGAGTATGGAATGAGG